TAGCTTTTTTTGATGATTTTGTATTCTGTTTCCTGTTTTGTTTCCTATATTTTATTTAACGAATAACTGCTACTACAATCGGTCTCGCATTACAGAACTGTGGGTTTTGGTTCCCACGGTGGTCTTTATAACAGATTGTTACCTCCGGTTTACTTCAAGAGAAAGCTTAGGGCTCAGCCAACCACGAAAAGAAATATTTTTCTTGGTAGCAACTTTATTTTACAATTTTTTTGTTTCATAAACTATTCCTCAAAAGGTTTAAAAAACGTACCCTGTGCTGGTGGCATGGATATCCTGGATATTAGAGAAGAGATGAGCTTTATCGAGCGGAGTAATTAGCGAGTTCGGGTCACTGGTGTCGAAAAGGGCTGCCTTGTAGAAGGTCTCGACGAGGACGCTCAAACTCTTGTTAAAAGAGGCCTCTGTGGTGATGATTTCGAACCTCGCCTAAGTAAATTCAGAGATGAGCATCATTCAATCAGCCCAGCATACAGGGGAGATATAATCATGGTCTCTAAACTCGCTAGAAGAGTTGGCTGTGCTCGTCGTATGGCTGATTTTGAGTTTTTTTTGGCAAAAAAGGTCAATACAAAGTGAAGAAACATTGCGCCAGATTTGAAGTGCGCGCAAATTTTTCCCATTGGGTGATTTAATAAACTAGAACAAACTAGATTGAATAAAAGGAAGAACGAGAAAAAGATTATAGCCTGACATACTTTAAAGTTGAGAAGTCAAGTTGCCAAACATATGTTTTCAGCACCTATGAGATTTGGGCTAAATTTATAAACGTCGAATGATTAGTACAGATCATTCTCACGCCGCTTGCATGCCAAAGTCAACATGTTGAAATCATTGGGGTTAAGAAAAGGGAGACGTATGGTAGTCTCCAAGCTATCTTGGAAGACGTAGAGTAAACGACAGTCATCACGTGGTGGCGACGATGTGCGATCTGAAGTTGGCATCGGCCACGGAAGAGAGAGCGCTTGTATAAACTTCTTCTGACAACATAGCACTGGCTTCGCAAGCAAGCTAGCCACTGCCTTGGCTGTGTTTAGCACGCGTTGGCGTAGGCCCTTGGAGAAACTGGCTGCTCTCCGGTAGACAACCTGAAAAGCTTCGTTAGGATCGACTTAGTGATTACTATCGACCAAGTGTGAGGGCACTGAATTCAAAATCAATATATTTTCAATTGTACTCATCCAGGCCAGTATGTATTCACGCACCCCCTTATCCAGGCGCCTTGTCGTTCGGCCAATGCATCCCGCACCACAGGAGCAGTTGAAGTACTAAATACACATCGACGTGGCCTTCAAGGGGAACCAATCATTACCTCTCAAACGTAGGAGGGGAGGGCGAGTGAAGAATATGCATAGTTTCGACGCGAGAGAGCGCTTGTGCTCACTGTCTTTCGACGGCGTCTTATAAGTTCGCTTGTTGCATCCCCTAATAAAGGCAGACTTACGAACACGTCTTGCTTTCCCACAATTAGGGTAGTAGGGTTTTTGGTGCGCTTGCCAATATTCCTGAGGATAATTCTTTTGGGGTATTTGTTTTAAAAAGTTGGGTTCTGCGTCTGCTGGAGCTCTGCTTCCGCGGTTTAAGGAGAGCAGCCACGTCGTACTCTTGCTGCCAATCCCTGCACAAAATTTTTTTC